TTCGGTTTCTCATGCCTGTCTTCTGTTCCCTCAGGTCCCCGCCAGGAGTGTGGCAGACGACGACTTTCCAGCTAACTACACACGGAAGTCGCGTCCGTCGATATGAAACCTCCTGAAGCCTCTAACTTCTACTGTATATGCTGTACATCTGCTTTTTCCTACTGACTAGGCCTACCTGTTATTAGGCCTTCCATATTGAGCGAGGCCAGGAAAATAATCCACGTGTAAATATGTCACAGAAAAAATGAATGAGACTTTTGTGTACAAAGCGTTCAAATCCATTATATAAGTAACTGCTGATCTGCTATTCAGAGAGCCGCTATATCAAAGTCCGTCAAAATTTCTTTGGTTTAGAAATATTAGTTGCGCCAATCGGAAAGGAGAAAGGAGTGTTCGTCCCATTCCCGTCCAATCAGAACTCGATATATGATACTTCAAACCCCGCCTCTTTTTTCGCAAATGGCCAATCGGAACTCGATATAACACATTAAACCCCGCCTTTTTTTCTAGCAAATGGCCAATCAAAACTAACTTTGTATATACAGTTGCATCTCATTTGCTGCCAGTTTAGCGCACATATTGTTCTCTCTTTTTCTTAAGATTACTTAACCAACATAAGCGGGGAGAGACCTAATAATCATATAATCATTTTTGTATCTGTAAGTGATTACCATGTTGATATATCTGTTGAATTCGCCTTCCTCGACCTTGTATGTAACGCGTTAAGCTAAGAATTTTGCCAGGATGTGAACGAAGAAATAAATCTGAACCTTCTCCTTGAAGAGCGAGCGTTGATTTCACATCCTCTCGAGTCGATAGTTGCAAAGTTTCATGTATTGCATTTAGTAAATATGAATAACGTTCTGTAATTATGAGTATTGTACTATTATTGTTATTATTATCATTATTATTATTATTATTATTATTATTATTATTATTATTATTATTATTATTATTATTATTATTATTATTATTATTATTACTACTGCTACTACTACTACTACTACTACTGCTACTATTATTATTAAAGATGTATTATTATTATTATCATTATCATTATTATTATTATTATCATCATCATTTATATTATTATTTATTTATTTATTATTATTATTATTATTATTATTATTATTATTATTATTATTATTATTATTATTATTATTATTATTATTATTATTATTATTATTATTATTATTACTATTATCATCATCATGATTATTGATTTTTTGTTATTATGATTATCATTATTATTGTAATTGTTATAGGTACTGTCATTATCATACTACCACTATTTATTATTGGTCCTATTGATATGATTATTATAATTTGATGTCATTATTATTGTTATCATCATAATCATTGATTATTTAGGTTATCATGATAATGTACATTATTATTTTTATTATTATTATTATTATTATTATTATTATTTTTATTATTATTATTATCATTGTTGTTATTGTTGTTATTGTTATTCATTGTTATTGTTGCCATTATTATTTTTAATATCTTTATCACTACAGCCTTCTTTATCACAGGCCGGTCAGTCTCGACAAACAAACTGTCTTTGTTCATTATTAACTTTTTAAACACAATGGTCTTTTGTGATGGAAAATATTGTGTTCTTGTACCATTCCTCTCTCTTCTCTTCTTCTCTCTCTCTCTCTCTCTCTCTCTCTCTCTCTCTCTCTCTCTCTCCTCTCTCTCTCTCTCTCTCTCTCTCTCTCTCTCTCTCTCTCTCTTCTCTCTCTCACTCTCTCTTCTCTTCGCTTCTCATCCTCATTACTGCTGCTATTATTATTATTGTTTCTTCTTCATTGTATTATTATTATTGGTATTATTGTTATTACTATTATTATTTTTATTACTATTATTATCTTTTATTATTGACATATTATTATTATTTTATTATTATTTTTATTACTATTATTTTATTACTATTATTATCTTTTATTATTGGCATATTTATTATTTTATTTATTTTATTTTTATTATTCTTATTATTGTTGTTATTTCTATCATTATCGTTAGCATTATACCAGAAACACTCATAAAATCGTCCGTTGCTGCAGACTGTCAGGCAGAGAGAGAGAGAGAGAGAGAGAGAGAGAGAGAGAGAGAGAGAAGAGAGAGAGAGAGAGAGAGAGAGAGAGAGAGAGAGAGAGAGAGAGAGAGAGAAATACCCATGCCCGTCAGATTTATTCGGGCAAACAGCATTGATTTCTCCCCATTTCCCATCGCTTCGGACTGCCATTGTCAAACTACTTCCCTAAACGACGAATCACAACGGAAGACGTGCAGCGTTAAGGATAATTATGAACTGTATTTATATTTTTATCATTATTATTTATATTTTTTGCATTACTGTTTTTTTATTCAGTGCAAACTAAGCAGGTGGACGGTTTTCCATTTTCGAGGCGGAGGAAGGTGCTTTGCAGACGAGAGAGAGAGAGAGAGAGAGAGAGAGAGAGAGAGAGAGAGAGAGAGAGAGAGAGAGAGA